TGTCATCAACGTGATGTCATCAACGTGATGTCATCAACGTGATGTCATCAACGTGATGTCATCAACGTGATGTCATCAACGTGATGTCATCAACGAGATGTCATGAACACAACAACTGCCCTGAAACAATGGTACTCTTCTCCACTCCAGCCCAACACTGTTTTCATTCTTTCTAACACACTGTGTGTGTGTGTGTGTGTGTGTGTGTGTGTGTGTGTGTGTGTGTGTGTGACATCATCAGGCCAAGTCTCTGGAGTGGCGTTGTAAAGAGAACCATGAACGAGGATTCAACTTCCTGTTTGGTCACTTCAGGAAGTTCTACCTTCCCCACATCTTTCCCAACGTTGCCATGGAAACCAGCCTGTACAACCCCTTACTGGGTCGGTACCCATCAGACGACTGGTGACAGTTCTAGGGACGCCCAACAGTTCTGCTGTGATGACTCCTGTTTGTCCTCCTGTCCACAGACGTGCCTACGATGCGTCCTAAACCCTACTACCACGTGGTGCGCCGAGAGCACGACGGTGGCGAAGTACTGTATTGCACCAAGGAGAGTTTCCTCCAGGCTCGGGTCATCTTCATACGCTGGTTGGTTTCCTTCTGGCTGGAGCCCAAACCCAACACACAGACACACATCCCTGGAACCGAGGGAGAAAACGTCCCCAAGAATATACAGGTGATCCAGCCACATGTCTCTCTCTCTCTCTCTCTCTCTATATATATATATATATATACACATATATACATATATATACATATATATACATATATATACATATATATACATATATATACACACACAGTATATGTATATATATATACATATACTGTGTGTGTATATATATGTATATATATGTATATATGTGTATATATATATATACATATACATATATACATACATATGTATATATATATATTTATACATATATACATATATATGTATGTATATATATGTATATATGTGTATATATATATATATATGTGTATATATATATATACATATACATATATACATACATATGTGTATATATATATTTATACATATATACATATACTGTGTATATATATGTATAAATATGTGTATATACAGTATATGGTTATATAGATACATATATAGTGTTCCCTCTCTATATCTGCATTCTTTCTTTTCCCTCAGTACATCGCAGATTTATTTTTTTAGTGCAATCTAGCGACATTTTTGCTATATCACAATATTTAATGTTAAAAAAAATTCTTAATTCCGTGAAAAAAATATTTAATGAATAACATTAATATTGCAGCCTAAAAACGGAAAATAAATTGTATATAAATAAACGAAAAGACATTTTGCGACACATAGAGGTTAATGCAAAAAAAAAAAAAAAAAGCCCAGACACGTAAGATACGTACGGGTAAATGAGATCTGGGAAATTTGGGAAATGATTAATGTAGGGTAATGACCTAAGTTGGACACCGGAGGGCGCTGTTGCTGCTTGCCTCCAGAGTCAGGCGGTTGTTCCTGTTGTTGTTGTTGACGGGACACCGTATTTTTGGCGCTGTTGAGTTCTGAGTCTGTGTTTGTCTGTATCTCAGTAAGGAGGAGAAAAAAGAGGTCACGTGATAAAAGGTCAGTGAGGTCAATGTCTAAGATCTAATCAAAGTGTGGTTGACTGTCAGCGGGCGGCAGCTGGACTGGCTGCCCGCTCCGCAGGAAGCTCAGAAGACAGCGGTGGAGGCGGGAGTTACCTGGAAGGAGGGGGCGCTCACTCTGTCCCAGGAGGCAGCAGCATGGGCCTGTCGGGCGGAGCAGGGATGGAACCTGAACAGAGCCACTCCAACACATCCACCCTGACCGAGAGGGAACCCAGCTCCTCCTCCCTCTGCTCCATCGACGAGGAGCAGCTGACGGACATGGAGGTGGTGAGGAGGGTGCTGACCAGCTCCAGGACCTACGTCAACTTCATCACAGAGATCTTCAGACAGGTGATGGACCAGCCACACAACCTGTGACATGGTCCTCCACATGGTCCTCCACATGGTCCTCCACATGGTCCTCCACATGGTCCTCCACAAATGATGCTGAGAATTGATCACATTTTGTTTTTCTGTCAAATGCAGGCGTTTCTTCTTCCGATGTGTGAGGCCGCTGCGATGCGGAGGGTGGTCCGTGTTTACCAGGAGTGGATCTCCATGGAGGACAAGCCAGTCTTCATGAAGGAGCCTCAGGAGGGTCCGTATCCCATCACCACCACCGGCAGTCTGGACTCTCAGCTGGGGGACCAAGAGGATGAGGTGAGGAGAGACGGAGACAAATCAGTCTCCAAGGAAATAGAAGGTGTTTGAAAGTCCACCAGGGGGCGTCGTCAGAGACGACCTCCTCGTCAGTGACACTTTATGTTCTCTCGCCGTGTCAGGAGATGAACAGAGCGGTGGACAGTGAAGTTCTGGAGTACAGTGTTCATGCCGGCGTCCAGACCACGCTGCAGGTACTGTTGTTGGGTGAAGACCACAGGTCCGTCCACACTGAGGTCCGTCTGTAAGACAGGCTCTTCTACTGTGCAGGTGTTTGTCACGCACTCCTCCAACGTCTTCCTGCTGGAGCCCGCCAACGACATCAAGATCCTGTTGGAGGAGCACGTCGACATGTGCAAGAGGGTCCTGAACATCTACCGCAGCCTGGTCATGCACGAGAGCATGGACCATAAAACATGGTACCAGGAGGAGCTGCAGGAGCACCTGTTCAAACGTTAGCATCGATGCTAGGTCACGGTCTGTTGTTGTTCTTCTTGTTGTTTTGCAGGGAGCAGATCCTTCTGGTTCTGCTGAGGGTGACGGAGTCGGTGATGAAGAGACCACCGTCCATCATGCCTCAGGGCAAGAAGAACAACACGCTGTCAGGGAGACTGGCTGGACCCATCTTCCAGGTACAGGACTGTCACTGGTAACTAGTCCCGCCTCACGGGCGGGGCAGCAGGTCTTTAACTGCCTCCCTCCTTCTGGCCCAGACCCTGATCGTGGCCTGGATCAAGGGAAACCTGAACGTCTACATCAGCAGGGACCTGTGGGACGACCTCCTCTCCGTCCTCTCCTCTCTCACCTGCTGGGAGGAGCTGGTCACAGAGTGGTCCCTGACCATGGAGACACTGACCAAGGTAACTACGGTAACAACTAACTCGTTTGGATTCTGTTTTTAGGGATGTCCGACATTGTCCAAACACTTAACCCCCCCCCCCCCCCCCC